GTTGGAAAGATTTTATAGTAGGGAAACAGCCACTACGTTCGTTAGCAACCTGCATATTTGTGTAGCAGCTTGTCGGAAAAATATAACAAAATTGTAAACAAAGTCCTAAAATTTGCATTGTTCGTGTTTTTGGAAACTTGTATAAGTTTTGTTTTGTGTAGCCAAGTATTTTTAATGCAAAGTCCCTGTCATTCCTGTGATAAATTTGAGGAGGTGTTTGTCAAAAACATTTGTGCATAAACTGCTAAAATTGCTTCCCATGGCAAAGCAGAGGTGTTTCTGAGCACTATGAGAAGAGCTTGCTAGGGGTCACTACTTGGGTACACTAAGCTAATTGCATATGTGCTGATCGAATGGCACAGTAGTGATGAGATATTGATGTTAATTGCTGAGCATCCTTCTATCTGGATCCTCGGCAACTTGAGAAAAAAAACAAAAAAACCTGAAGTTAAACATATAAAGCATGAATAGAAAAAGTGATAAAACATAGTACCTATGTGCATTCACACAAAGTGTACTAGAAGCACAGCAATTAAGGGAAGGCAGAATTGTGAAGTCAAACCATGAATGCTGTCGCCAGACTGATTTTCCTCTCCAGTCGCTCAGTGGCGTTTCTAGGATTAATTTTTAGGGGGGGTGCACATAGTGGGCTAGGGACAAAAGTAGGGGGGCACATTTAACCCCGCCCTCGACGCAGTTTGACCCCACCCCTGTCGCATGTTAAGCCACGCCCCCAACACAATGTGTTGTTGTTTTTTTAATAATCCCTGGTGGAGGATTCATTATTTTCCACCAGGGATTATTAAAAAACAAACACATTTCCCTTGATACAGTGCCATAGTTGCTAACATTTGAAAAAAAATTCCAAGGACATTTTGCAGCACAGCTATCAATTACTGTCTGGGTATAATATCCCTGGACAGTCAGTGCTCTCTGTATAATACAGGGTTGTGTGTATAATAGATTGGGACAGTCAGCGGTCCCTGTTCAGTGCTGCTCTCTGTATAATCCCAAGACAGAGAGCAGCACTATACAGGAAGCACTGACTATCCCGGGATATTTTATACACACAGATCTGTATTATACAGATAGCTGAGCATATACCCCAATCTCTAGACTACTTGTACCTGTCAACAGCAGCTCCCAGACGCGTGTAACAGGGCTAAAGTGTGCGGCAGCTCACACAGATGATTCAGCGGTAAAGCGCACTCGCTGGCAGAGCCAAACTGGGAATCCAAAGCAGCCCTGGAAAAAAATTTAGGCCATTCCTACAAGTCAATATATATATATATATATATAGAGAGAGAGAGATATGTATATATATATATATATATATATATATATATATAGTACAGTGAGCACACAAGCTCACTGACATGCGCAAATAGGCTCACTGACAGACAAAAAACTCTGACTAACACACAAGCTTAATACAGACAAACTCACTTGTATAAATACAAGACTCACTACAAAGAAGTTCAGGGACACACACAAGCTCACTAAAGACAAGCTCACTGACACACACATGCTCACTAAATAGAAGCTCACTGACACACACAAGCAGTACCATCTTAACAGTGTTTAGGGCCCCGGGCAAAGCAGTGCACTGGGGCCCTTCCTACACAACAACTCACAGGAATAAAAATTTAAATTATTGATAGACTGCTGAGTACACACACACAGTACACTGAATACAAACACCGAGAGACTGCTGAATATACACACACACAGATTTCTGAATGCACACAGACTCCTGAATGCACACAGGCTGATTTATACACTTACACACAGACTGCTGAGTCCATACACACACACTGCTGAGTCCATACACACACACACAGACTACTGAGTCCAAATACACACACAGACTGCTGAGTCCATATATACACACACACAGACACACACATACACAGACTGCTGAGTCCATACACACACAGACACACAAACACAGACAGCTGAGTCCATACACAAATACAGACTGCTGAGTCCATACACACACAGACACAGACTGCTGAGTCCATACACACACACACACACACATACTGCTGAGTTCATACACACACAGACACACAGCCTGCTGAGTCCATACACAGACACAGACACAGACTGCTGAGTCCATACACACACAGACACACAGACTGCTGAGTTCATATACACACACAGATGCACTTACTGCTGAGTTCACACACACACACACACACACAGACTGCCGAGTCCATACACACACACACACACACACAGAATGCTGAGTCCATATACACAGAGACTGCTGGGTCCAGACACACACAGACTTCTGAGTTCATACACACACACAGACTGCTGAGTTCATACACACACACACACAGATGCACAGACTGCTGAGTTCATACACACACACACACAGACTGCCGAGTCCATACACACACACACAGACACAGACTGCTGATTCCAGACACACACAGGCTGCTGAGTCCATTCACACACACATACTGCTGAGTCCAGACACACACACACACAGACTGCTGAGTACATACACACACACAGACTGCTGAGTCCATACACACACACACAGACTGCTGAGTCCATACACACACACACACACACAGACTGCTGAGTCCACACGCACACAGACTGCTGTGTTCATACACACACACACAGACTGCTGAGTCCATACACACACACCCACAGACTGCTGAGTCCATACACACACACAGACTCTGAGTCCATATACACACACACAGACTGCTGAGTCCATACACACACACAGAGAGTCCATACACACAAACAGAGGCTGAGTCCATACACACACAAACACACAGACTGGGTTGAGTCCATACACACACACAGACAGCTGAGTCCATACACACACACACAGACTGCTGAGTCCATACACACACACACAGACTGCTGAGTCCATACACACACAGACTGCTGAGTCCGTACACACACAGACTTCTGAGTCCATATACACACACACAGACTGCTGAGTCCATACACACACACACAGACTGCTGAGTCCATACACACAAACACAGGCTGCTGAGTCCATACACACAAACACAGACTGCTGAGTCCATGCACACACACAGACTGCTGAGTCCATGCACACACACAGACTGCTGAGTCCATGAACACACAGACTGCTGAGTCCATACACACACACAGACTGCTAAGTTCATGCACACACACACAGACTGCTGAGTCCATACACACACACACACACACACAGACTGCTGAGTCCATACACACACACAGACTGCTGAGTCCATGCACACACACACACACACACACATCAAGCCTACCTGTCACTGGAGGCTGTTGCTGGGGGTCAGACAGCCATCTTCCATTCTTTCCAGCAGCAGCATGGTCTGTTGCTTTACGGCAGGGGTGGGGCTTATGTGCAGGAGACGGAGCTTCATTTGGGGGCGGGCCTGTGCTGGGGAGCCTGTCACTGCTCCCTCCGGCCACAGACAATACCCAGCACTGCATTCCCTCGGGCTGTCACAGATTGTTACAGCCCGAGGGAATGTAATTTAAACACATGGCCAGCAAGTTGCTGGCATTTGGGGGGGCCCAAGAAGGGCACAGCATGATGTAGGGGGGGCCATGGCCCCCTCTGGCCCCCCCTAGCGACACCACTGCAGTCACTCCTCTCACCCCTCTGCCAACCCTTACATTGGCTTCCTGTATCCTATAGGAGTCAATTCAAAATATTAACCCTTACCTATAAAGCTCTAAACAACTCTAGACCCCACTACATTTCTTCACTGATTCATAAGTATGCCCCTTCTTAGTCTCTCCACTCTGCGGATGACCTTCTCCTGTCCACTGCTCGCACCCTTACTGCTAAATTACGCTTGCAGGACTTCTTGCGGGTGGCTTCTTTCTTTTGGAATAGCCTGTCTACCCCTATACTATATTTAATAGTTTAAGAAGTCCCTTAAAACCCATCTGTTCAAAAAAGCTTATGGCCTCCCAGAGCAAGCTCTACCTTACATACCTGTTCCTTGCTCTTTTCTAAAGGGCAGCACTCTTTTATCTCCTCCAGCTCTGCTTCATTCCCACCTAACTGGATTGCTATCTCCTGTCCTATTGTGTTTTATACCCCACCTCCTCTAGGCGGTAAGCTCATTTGAGCAGGGTCCTCTTCAACCAATCGTTCCTGTAACATTTTGTATTTGTCTCATTTATTGTTAAATCTCTCTGTGGAATGTGTTGGTACTATATAAATGTCAAAAAATAATAATAATTATAATAATAATGTAGTTGCAATTGGAAGAGCAAATGAAGGGTTACATATCAACTGCTATGTATTGCAATAATATGTCCTGTACCTGACACAAAGGTTAAACACAGGGATCATGTAGAAGGTTTAGTTTGCATTATAAGATACAATTATATATGCCCCTATATAATTTTAAAGCATTGAAGTTAATCCCTGAATGTTGGAGTTATACTAGCTGTCTCATTTTTGCTGTGAGAATTTTAAACATTTTACTGCAATAAAACAAGGAATGTATACATAATAATCTTGACAAATCTGTGCCCACTAGATATTCCACAGATTAGCAGGAACCATTAAAAACCCAGCCCTGGATTGCAAAGATACAAAAGATATAACTGTCTGGTAGTAGATTGGATTTTCAGATTTATGCATTTTTCCTCTCTGTCACGCTTAAGGGGTCTGTTTAAGCTTGCAATAATGGGCAAAGAAGGGAATATATAAGCTTGTGCATAAAATCAAAAAAGCAATTATTTGCTAAACTTCAAAAGTGAGGTCAGATATCAGATAGTTTGTTATAGGATCAATATGAATTTATCTGTATATATTTAATTTGTTTAACAATATTATTGTAGAAAAATACATTTTGGGGGCGGGGCTTGCTACCCGACACGAGCGGAGGCCATTTTCCACAGCTCCCAAGCCCTGCGGATAAAATCCATTAAAATCAGCCTTCCTCTGACCCATCCTACCTCGCCACACGCACTATCGGCATCAGCACAACGAGCCACGTCTCCCGATGCCTTTTTTCCAACCGCAGCGGCAGCAGAAACGGAGACGCAAAATCGGGGCCTACTACACTCCAACGAGCCTGGGCCTCGAGGACCTGTTGCGTGGATACCCGGCCGAGCACACAGACACCTCCTGCACCCCGGACCCATCCACAGCTCTGACTCATATGCCGGCAATGGGACGCAGATCACAAAGGCCACAAGGTACGGCTGGGGGCAGGGATATTGGGACTATGCTCCAAAAGCCTACCCAGCCCAAACCCAAAACAGCGGCAGAAACGCTGGAGGCTACCCAGGCACCTACCACACCCCAACAACGGCAAGAACCGCCAGAGCCCCCACAGACCCCCAAAACAGGATCACAGGGGCCAGAACTTACTGGGCAGCACCAAAATCAGCAGCCGCATACCCGGGCTCCACAAGGCCCTGACTCCCAGGGACACCCATGGGCAATACAGCCTGATAGGGTACACAATCCACCACAAACCGGACCTGACGAACAAGGGCACTTACAAGCATCACTACAGCCACTGTTGGAGTCCCCGGATGACTCTGCACCAACCACCAAACGTGACTTAAAGCTTCTTCTAGCAGACATCCATAAGCTCCTAGCAGCTGACTCAGCCCTTCTGAGGACCGAACTGCGCACGGTCACGGAAAAGGTGAACACCACGGAGGCAGAAGTAGTGATGGTACATGCTCACATAAACACGATGGAAGACACCATCAAACAAATCCAACAACAACAAACGTACCTGTCACTCAAAATGTCAACCATGGAAGATCGACAAAGCCGCTCACACATAAAAATCAGGGGCATCCCTGCAGAGATATCAGCCGAAGAGCTGCCGCATTACACCAGACGCCTACTAGCTACAGTACTCCCACACACGGCAGTGAAGAAAATGATCATAGATGGGGTATACCGCTTGCCTACCCCTCCCCACCTAAAGACCCCAACGGCCAGAGACGTCATCCTCAGATGTGTCACAGTACAAGATAAACTACACATAATGGCTGGGCTGAAAGGCAAGACACCGCTGCTGTTTGAGAACTCTTCCCTGACGTTCTTCCAGGACCTATCAAAGGCCACCCTCATGTGGCGAAAATCGTATGGACCGCTCACCACACAACTCCGAGCAGCGGGAATTGCATACAAATGGGGCACTAACGGGACTCTGGAGGTATCCCAAGAAGGCACTACCCATGTCCTAACCTCCGTGGAAGAAGCACCTAATCTCCTAACCGCTTTGAAACTACCCAACCCGATGCTTCCACCACGAAAAAGCCCGCAACTGGAAGTCCAGGATCCCAGGAACAACGCCCAGTCGGAACCGAGACCCAGCGGGTCACAACACCCTGTACCATGACTGAAGTGGACTGACACCGCAGGCTTTGCCACCAGGAATGGTGCACACATATTTTGATTTCATTCCGTGACTTTATTTACATTTTATACTATTCACGTTTTATACTATTTACTACTTACGTTTTACAATATTTACTATTTAGCCTCCGCTAACAATTCCCAAACACTACAGGCCATTGCCACACCCACCCTCTCTACGCCACTGAGAGCCAACATATCACACGTCCAACCACAGAGCGCCTGACAAATCACCCCCCCCCCCCGCAGCCCCCTTGGTTAGGGGTAATCAACCCAAAGCACGCTATCTACGACAAACAGCTCACCTCCACTAACGCATGTAGACACCTATACTCAGCACAACACAGCGAGTCTAACCATGAAACATGGAACTGACGCAACCTTGCTACTACACGACTCGAAAACCTACTCAATCTTCACATAGGGTCCCATCACCACCAGACCTACTCTAGACAGGAGCTACTGATTGAAAGCAAAGTCCTATCCCAACACAAGAACGCACAAAACATCATAACACCTAAATAATGAATACTGTTTTGTTTTAACATGTTACTGTTGTTTAAAAATTATTGCTATTGCTTGACCCAAAACGGTGCAAACTATGAACGGTACCGAACCTCAACTTTTTAACAATCTGTACGATCTAAATGTTGCACCAAAAGTGAAAAATAAAGAATTTAAAAAAAAAGAAAAATACATTTTGGCTGAACCATGTCATTCGAAAAAAAAAAAAAAAGAAAAAATCCAGGACAACCAAATTTAGTTAAAATTTTTGTTCAGCTCCTCAGAATTTCATTCACCAATAAAATTCAGGAAAATATTTAGGCAGGCGAAAAAAAGCAGGAAAAAAGACCACTGCTAGTATACTGCAAAAAAAAAAAAAAACTGCTACAGTATTGTCTAGTTAATGGCAACGCAATATCAGCCATTTTTGCAATGCCAATTTTGAGTTGACGAAATTAGATTATTATATGTCTGGATTAAAAAAAAATTGTAAGTGAAAGAACATTGATTCAATGATTGATTGTATCCTTTTTTTCTATTTGCTATCTTTTTTTCCATTTGCTAATGACCATCCACTCACCTATTGCACCCAGTGATAAATAAAGCATTCACACACATTCGTTCTGTAGCATCAATGACTATCCTTCAATGTGGGGGGAAAAACAGTGTCCAATAGGCTTCTCCCCAACGCATCTGCAGAGGTAGGTGGAAATAACTTGTATATGTACACTTTAACACTCAGCCAGGCAGGGCAAAACCACTATAATGAAAGCATTTAATAAAAAAGGGGGAGCAGCAGCATTAGCAGCAACTGGACTAATTACTTTTTAATTAGCTGAGTGAACAAGGGATGACCTGTCCCAAACTGGCATTACCATGGTTCCAAATATATTAAATAGAGGCCTTCATGACTTCATGTCAGAGTTATTCATTATACCAGGTAGTGTCAAGAATATAATAGAACTGTTATATTTTTACTTAAGAGATTCTTAGGTGTATTTAAGTATGAGAGAGAATCAAACAGATACAGTTATTGGCAACCTTGTTAACAGCATGTTAGTAATTTAACATAATCAGCATGGTTGCAAAGATGCGTGCAGGTTGTAACATACTGTCACTTCTGGTTGTAATAGGTCATGGAAGGGCAGGATGGAGCCAAGTCCCATATCAACTAAGGACAAAAGTCCTCGGAATATAACAGAGATATAACACAGAATAATATCGCAAAAAAATAAGTTATAGAAAAAAAACAAGAACAAAAATCAAAAGTCCAAAGGGATTTCCCTGCTAAAATAGAGAGTGGTCCATGATCACCATCTACTGGCTGTTTTCAGCATGACAGGGAGATCTTCTTTTAATGCTGTCTGTGCCAATAATTGGTCTTGTTGCTGGCAAAGTCTAGCACTGATCATCGAGGAGGCATGAATGGAGACCCTATTAGGATCATTTCAGGCTCAGAATCATGGCGGCTGAATGTGACTGCTCAGCCACAGGGATTTAAATAGATATAAAATGGCTATATGCAGCACTCACTTTGGGAGCTGCATACGGCTCACTTATCAGTCTGGGGCTGCAAAATTTGGTCCTAGCTGACAGATTGATATGAGGAGCTCCCTGGAGTGAGAAGGAATTTATCCATGCTCACACCAGAATCTTAAGATGTCTCATGCCATCCTAACATCATTAAAACCCACTGAGTCTAGGATGGCATGGAACATCCTAACATTTTTAAGTAGTTAAAGAAACATAAAGAATTCTATAGGGCACAATTGATATATTTAGTTTCCTGTTGCCCTAAAATCTAGAAATGTTTCCTTGCATATAAGGTTACATAGCATAGAAACTGGTTTTACATACTATGAGAGGGCATTGGCATCAGATCTGAGTCCAGTCCTCTTGCGCTAGTCCCTTTTAGACCTTATAGATTAACAGTGCACAGGACAATCGAGTTATTATGTTTGATCAACTGCCTGTGATATGTGTGACGGAAACATTAAAGTGCATAAAATGTAATTTATCTTGTCAGTCTTTTGAAATGTAGTGAGCAATGCATTTTACCTATAGCGTTTGAAGGGTTATTATTAAGGTTTATTAATATTGTGGACCCAGTAATGTAGGGATGGTCAAAATGTGGATCAACTGCTAGAACCATAGCACTCAATATGCTGTGCTAGCCACAAGAGTGATGAAGCATCACGGGCAAGGAGGAGTTGTAACTTATGGACTGGAGGAGGGAAACAAACAAATTAACTTTTCTCTAACAAAACCATCTCACCTTCCCACCTTATATAACTTTTTTTATTTTTATAGTTTTTTATGGGAATGTAACATTTTAATAAGATAGCATGGAAACACTGGGGTTACATTTTTAGAAGCTTCACTAAATTCCACTTTTATTTTGCATATTTAATATTAAAAAAAGTATTTGTTTAAAGATAAATTGGATATAATAATTAAATACTTACCTAATTCTTATACAGTATTTAAAACTGCATTCTGTCGTTTCCACGGTGACGGCTCCATCTTTATCGACGTGGAGAGTAATTCTTTCTTATTCATAATGACTGCTATGTAATTTTACAACTTTAGATAGAACCTGACTCTTTTTGTTAAAAAATAAATACTGTAAATTGTTTCTGTACAAACAGTAAAAAAATATGCATGCGTGCTGATCCACAACAAGAACAGGAGGAAGCTGCAACAAAAAAAAGAACTAAACAACTGCAAATCAGCAACATACACATAAAAACACAGAATGTGACTGCAAATAAAGAGCCATTCGGCATATCTAGTCTGCCCAAGTTTCTAAATACTTTTATCCAATGCATGCTTAAACTCCCTCACTGTGTTAACCTCTACCACTTCAGCTGGAAGGCCATTCCATGCATCCACTACCCTCTCAGTAAAGTAATACTTCCTGAAATAATTTTTAAACCTTCGTTCCTCTAATTTAAGGCCAAGTCCTCCTGTTGTGGTAGTTTTCCTTGTTTTATATATACTGTCCTCCTTTATGGTGTCGATTCCCTTTATATATTTAAATGTTTCTGTCATATCCCTGTCTCGTCTTTTCTCCAAACTGTACATGTTAAGTTCCTTTAAACTTTCCTGGTAAGTGTTATCACTATAAGTATAAATATGTATATCCTGGGTATTTATACCACCTTAAATAAATGACAATAGCGATTGATAGGGACAAAGTCCTTGGTAAAGGACTTGACGTGTAGCCTTTACTTTTTCCTCCAATAAGTCCCTTAATGTGCAGTGATCCTCAATATTATATAAAAGGGCAGAAGTACATACAACAAGAGGGAGA